GGTGACAGACGCCTGTAATCCCAGCTACTCGGGAGGCTGAGGCAGGAGAATGCTTGAACCCAAGAGGTGGAGGTTACAGTGAGCTGATATAGTGCTATTCCACCCCAGCATGGGGGACAGAGGGAGCTCCATCTCAAAAAAGCAGCAAAAAGAAAGAAAGAAAGAAAAACACAGAAAGAAAGGAAGAAAGAAAAGAAAGATCCTTGCAAAGTTTTTGTATGTTTTTCATGTATGCTTGCAAAAAGTTATAAAATTTTAGTGTGATTTTACTTGCTTTAAGCTGAAACTTTTCTAATCTTTCTTTAGCGATTATGGAGTAGCATGCTCCTTTCCTTTGCATATTCAATTGTTTCTTCTGTATTAATTACCCTAGCTATATGATTATGTCTTTTGAACCTCCCCTGCAGCTAGGTATGGCCATGTCACTAAATTTTAAGCTAATAATTTGAGCACTGCGCTATGAGTACTTTCTAAAAAAACCTTCCTCCTTTTCTCCCTCATTTTCATTATAGTAGTCTGAAATGAAGATCTAATAGCTGGAGATCAATAGTCATTCTAGGTAATGTAGGGTGATGGGTAATACAGTCTGTTAACTCCCTTACTGGAGATAAATTTCACAAGAATAAGAATCTTGTTTATGTTGGTCCAAGCAATATCCCAGCACTTGCACACAGTGTGCAGTATGTTTGCTAAGGGCTCAGGTATTAAATGGGTATTGAATGAATGAATGTTTTAATTTACTCTGGAGTCATAAACAAAAAGGGTCTCAGCTCATTTCACAGAATCAAACTCCTGATTAATTCAAATCACGCTACTCTAATTTGTGTCTCTTTGCTCTCTCAGCCTTGCCAATGTCATGGGAGGCTAGGACTTTTTCCTAATTTACTTCAATATTGCTTTCATTCAAAATGTTTTAAAATCTATTTTCATAACTGCTTTCCAATATTTTCCTGTTTAGAAAGTTCAAAATTCTTCCCTTTTTAAAGTCATGGGTATCTGTTTTTGGATGTGTCTATTGTTAAGAGCAGGCACTATTTTGTAACTTTAAATATACATCATCTGAAGTCTACAAGAATTATCCAAAATGGTATCTAATGACATTTCTAGGTCTTCAGACACTATTAACACAGATTATAGCCACTAGGTCCTGAGGACTGTACTTGATATAGGTTACTGAAACTAAGCTTTATTGACTTCTTTTTTATTCCACTGTGGTTTCTCACATTTCAACATATCACCTATTTTTGTTCTCAAACTTTGTTGAAATATTTTCAATGAAATTCAATAGGAATCATCATTCCCCGTGTTTTTGAAATGAACTTTTGCTTCATATGATAATGATTCTTCTGGTCATTTTTGTAATTACTTATGTTAGAGTTTGTAAGTATTCATACATTTTATAATTGCATATAATTTTCTTCCTATTTATTTTTTCCTCTTCCCCTAAAGTTGTTATTTCTTTTAACACTTTCTAGGAAAAATTAAGCCCATCTTTTGCTTTCTGGATACACTTATTTATAAATGAACTCCGTGATTTTTGCTCAAATTGCTTTTCAAGTTACCCTCTTTCAGGGAAGCCATTAGTGTATCAAGTGTTTTTTTTTTTTTTTTTTTTTTTTTGGTTGTTAGATGTATCAAGAAGTGTAGACTTTTCTATACATAATATCTTTTTCCCCACAGTTTTTTTTTTGAAAAGTCTTTTAAAATAAAGGTCATCAAAAGATCACCTCCTAAATCATTCCCCTACCAGAAGTATCTCTGGAGTCACATGGACCTTTCTCCCTGCTTGCTTTTGCAGAACTCGGAAGCTAATCTCTAACCTCAAAAATGTGTTTTCTCTGTTGATTCTTCCCCTTTAACATGGATGTATACTCACATTTTTGTTGAATCTTGGAATAAAAGGCTTTCTTTATCACGTATCTCCCTTTAACTACTACTACATCTCTCTTCTTACCCGAATACTTGGGAAGAGAAGCCCTAAGTTTGTGTCATTGTTTTCTCACCTCCAATTCACTACTTTACCCACTGCCTGACATCCAGCTCACTCACTTACACGCACAAGTCCAATCACTAAGTTGCCACAGGTGATTTGTAGCTTCCATGCCCTCCTAGCAAAATTTGACTCTGTGCATTGGGATAATACTTACTGAGTAGCTATTGACCAGGCACTGTGCTAGGTGCTGCTGTTATAGAAATAAAATCAGACATCATCTCCTTTCTAGTGACTCAAAAGGGCAGCCGTTTCTGTTTCATATGTGGGTCTCTTGACTCCGAGTGCTCCCTTTTGCAGGCTTTACTTAATGTCGTGTAAATCACACTATTCTCCAGGTCTTCTTTCTTTCCAGTTCTCCTTACTATACACAACTTTTTAAGATAATCACTTCCATGGCCACAGCTTCAGTTGCTTTCTCTATTCTCTGAGGACAATAGAATTTTAAATTTAAAATGTTAGCTTTATTTTATGTAAGATCCCTTATTTGCTATAACCATAGATTCAAAGTTACTGCATGAAAGTAATAAACGGAAAATGGTGATATTCTTAGCATGTAAATTACAGGACATTTTCCCAGTTACTCCTAATGGTTTGATTTAGTATGTATGTTATTTTTGAAAACATAGGTAGGGATGTCACAAATGGTATTAACCTACAGAGATTATATTCAACTTTGACTAGAGAGTTCCATTTTAATGTGACACTGAGAGTAAGAAATGATATTTTCCTCCTTACCTATTTCTCTTCCTATGTTCTCTGCCAGGAGAAAGGCACTACTGTGCACCTAATCTTCCCCAGCAGAGCCTGAGCAGCCCTGTTTTTCCTTCTACTTCCCCACTTTCACAACTCATGACCAAGTACTTCCTATTCTGTCTCCCAAATAATCACAACTTTTCCCCCCACTTTTGTCACTGCCACTGCCTTTAGCATTAGTCTTCCTTTAGATAGTCTCTTGATTGGTCTTGTTGCTTCCTTCAGTCCTTCCTTATTATACAAACCACTACACACATATCTGACAGAAACTCCTCATCTTTGTATGATTCAATGATCAAATTTTCAGAATAAAATTAAAACTACCCCAAAATCAAATTTGGGGTCAAATAAAGATGAGTTTATATCTCAGGTTCACACACTGTCCGGCAGTTTGGTTTCAGAAAATGGGAACTCCTTAAGCCTTTGTGTATCTGCCTACACTCACTGAGATTTGGGACTATTTCACAGATACAGTGCCTGGCATGTAGGAGGGACTTAATCAGTGTTGAATGAAGGGGAGGCATTTTAAAATCCACATCACAAAAAGGTTGTTTTTTTATAAAAGTATGGCAATCTATAATGTCACTTACCTTCCAAGCTTGTCTTCTACCTGTACTTTCTGATATGGTTTGGTCATGTCTGCACCCAAATCTCATCTTGAATTCTAATCCCCATAATCCCCACATGTTGAGGGAGGGACTCAGTGGGAGGTAATTGAATCATGTGGGCAGTTTCCCCCATGCTGTTCTTGTGATAGTTCTCCTGAGATCTGATGGTTTTATATGTGTTTGACAGTTGTTCCTTTACACACACTCTGTGGCCTACTGCCATGTAAGAAGTAGCTGCTTTCCTTTCTGCTATGATTGTAAGTTTCCTGAGGCCTCTGCAGTCATGTGGAATGTGAGTCAATTAAACTTCTTTCCTTTATAAATTACCCAACCTCAGGTATTTCTTTATAGCACTGTTAACATGAAACAATACACTTTCTGATAATCACACTTGAGGAATTGGGGAATTCATACTACCTGTGATTAAATAATGGCCCCAGACTGAGAGTCATGTGACATTGGGGAGATAACTTACCTTCTCCATCTCAATGTCTTCTCTAAAATCTGTGAGATTATTTCTGAGGGCTAAATGAGCATAGCCCACTTGGAACACTGTCAGGCACATACTGCTTGCCAGATGTTGAGTACTCATCTTTATTGAGTTAGGACTATGGTAACCCACTTTACAGCTCTTGATTTTGTATAACAAAATCATGGTTAGAGCTTTGTTAGTAAAAGAAAATCTGAAAGTCCCTGCGTGGAAGGAAGAAACAGACGGGGAAAAAAGGGAGTTTGTAAGTTTCAGCATTTCAAAGTTTGGAGGGACAAATTATGTTTCTATTTATGGAGAAGGAGGTGGAGGCAGGATGGGTCCTAAGGTGTCATTCAAGACACACAGCCATAACTCTTTAGTGAGAGTAGAGCTAGGGCCCCAAGGATTGCTGTGTTCAAGTGGCAGTCAAAAACTACCACTCATTGGAAGACAGGAGAGGAGTATTTCATTACAAAAGCAGTGAACAATTCAGTTGTATCTACATTCAGTTAGCAAATAAAAGTTGTTCAACTTGGTTGCTAATGGGACCCACTCTACTAACTGAGACTTTGTATAGAACTCATAGGGTAAGATGGCTTCCAGTAAAGAACCACCCTGTGCTTTTCTTAGGACTAAAAATCTCAGGAAGCTGGTGATGAATGAAAACCTTAGTCCCACTGGCACTGCAGGAGGGACCAGGAGAGCAGCCGCATCATAAACCACAGGGTGGGGCAGCTCAGACAGCAGCAGTTTGAGCTGTAGTCAGGGGCAACTCAAACCCCCAGGGTGTGGCATTGTGAGGTGTGGGGTGGGGCACTGTGAGCCACATGCTTGGGCTCCGACCTGGGCCAGTGAACTTCAGTCTGTAGGTGACTGCAGAAGGAGGAGGAGCTCCTTTCGTACTCTCTTCAGGCAGTTGTTGTGTCTCTCAGTGCTTGTTGGATTCACAACCTATTAAATAAATCGGCTGTTCTTCACCCTCCCAGACAAGCCAACTCAGGGGAGGCGGCAGGGTGCGGGCCTTGGCCTGTGCCCCAGCTGGGGCTGGGCTGTGGCGTGGGCAGGCGAGCAGCGGCAAGACCATCTCTGCAAGTGCAGCATAGCCTCGGCCTAGGACAGTGGGAGTGCGTGGCCAGCCCTGTGAGCAGACGCACAGGTGGTGGCAGACAGTCCAATGGGGAGCATACTGACCTGTTGTGTGTGCCCCAAGGTCAGGCCCGAGTTGGAACAGCATGAGGGGTCAGGGTGTCCTTCTCAATCTGAGGTCTGTGAGGCATCAGCTGAGGACACAATAGCAGCAGCGCCCACAGCTGCTGCTGAAGAGCCTGCTGAATTGATTGTTGAAGCTGGTGAGGGCCTTCATGTGCACCACATCCATGACCGGGAGATGCCTGAAGGTAAGGAGGTGACGGTGCCGTCTGCCTTGCCCACACCACTGTCTGCTGCTGTCTCCAAGGTTCCCTGGGGGACATCCCCAACCTCAGGCTCCTCTTTGCCTGTAGCCAGCTTTTCCAGGGCTGGCTAGGAGCAAAGGCTGGCTCTGCCCTGACTTCCCATTCCCACCTCTTAGTCTTTCTCCACAGAGTCCAGTCAGTTTCTTTTCTCCTCCCCTCCCAAAGACCCAGTTCTTGCTCCCTCATCTCATTCTCTTAGGCTGCCATGGAACCTTTTATTTATGGCTCTTCTTGTCTGTAGCTCTGTTTATTATTCTGTGGGACTTTGTTGAGGCTTCTTTGGAATATTCTCTTTCCTTTTTCAATCAAAACTGAAATATTCCAATTTTCCAGTACCCATCCCATTCTTTCTTTGTACCTATCCAGATGGTACCTAAGTGAAGGAACCAGGTAAGTGCCTAATTATTTCCTGTGTTAAAGTAGCTAAATCTCAGGACAATTCATACTGAAATATTTGGGGATTTCTTATTTAAAATCAGTTTGAAGGTTGCCATGGGAGAGATGATAGGGTATTCTGAGTGGGCTGCTTCAAGTCATTTTAATAGATGCTTAGTTTTTTCTTACTGTAATTTGAACACAAAAGGAAAGAAAATGGAAAGTGCTTAGAATAATTGTGAAAGGTATAAAATGTCATGGCCAGGGCTGCAGAAAAATGAGTATTCCCCCCCTCAAAGTACTTTACCCATGAAGCTCTGATTACTTTAAAATTCTTACTTTAACACAAAATGTGTCTCTAGATTTATTGTGGCGACTTAACAGACATTATTTACCTTCTTGTTCTAAAAGAGAGACAGGGGATGGTTCAGGGTCAAAACTTTCAGAAGACATGAAATGTAAATGTAGACTTTTAATGTGTAAGATAAAGGTTGAAGGTTAGAATGCCAGATCTTGCCTGTGTAAAAGTGTTTGTTGTCATGGCTCCCCCTTTGTCCTTCCCTCCCTTGACAATAGCATCTTTTTCAAAGATGAGAAACTAAAGCTTAAGAAGCTGGAAGCCATCATCCACAGCAAACTAACACAGGAACAAAAACCATACACCACATGTTCTCTCTCATAAGTAGGAGTTGAACTATGAGATCACATAGACACAGGGAGGGAAACATCACATACTGGGTCCCTTCAGGGGGCAGGGGTAAGGGGACAGAGAGCATTAGACAAATACCTAATGCATGTGGGATTTAAAATCTCAATGATGCATTTATAGGTGCAGCAAACCACCATGGCACATGTATAGGTATGTAACAAACCTGCACGTTTGGCACATGTTTCTCAGAACTTAAAGTTAAAACAACAACAACAACAACAAAAACTTTAGTTGGGCTCTTTGTTTTTTTCAGAGGTAGAATAATTAAAACTCATGATGAGTGTGACTTTGTAACTTGGAGTACTATACTCACTTTTCAAGATGCTTAAGAATTTAGAATAAACAAATATGTGGGTTGATTATATTTTTATACAGAAAACATGAAAGTACTTGTGTAAACTTATACTCTGGTTGCTGGTGTAAGGAAAGACTGTGAGTGATATTACACACCAGTTGATAGATTGGTAGTGTTGGATGAGAGCCCAAAAATGGCTTTTAATTGTCTTTATTTAGGATTAAAACACAGTTTCTGTATGTCTCATTTGTCCCTTTCCTATCCAAAGGCCTGTGTATGTTCTCCCTATATATTGCTAAAGAAGAAATAAAAAACTTACAGATCTTACATGCCTGTGGAAGGTAGCTACTCAATGAAACTATCGTTCTATGTCCTCAGAATGACATGGAAGTGACAGATATGCTAAATTTAATTTTAAAAAATTTTGAGCTCCAGAATAAATGACATATTTTGCCTATAAAATAGGCCTGTCTTTTAAAATGTACTGCCATCTTGTTTTATTCTATGCAGTTGATTTTACACAACTCAGAGGCAACATTGACCTCATTTATTTATTTATTTAGGAGGGTCTTGCTCTGTTACTCATGCTGGCCTCAAATTTCTGACCTAGTCTTTTTTTTCTTTATTTTTTTCCATTTATTTATTTTATTGCATTTTAGGTTTTGAGGTATATGTGAAGAACATGCAAGATTGTTGCATAGGTACACAGGTGGCAGTGTGATTTGCTGCCTTCCTCCCCATCACCTACATCTGGCATCTCACCCCTTGCTATCTCTCCCCAACTCCCCACACCCCACCGTCCCTCCCCTATTTCCCCCAAACTGACCCCAGTGTATAGTGCTCCCCTCCCTGTGTCCATGTGTTCTCATTGTTCAACACCTGCCTATGAGTGAGAACATGAGTTGTTTGATCTTCTGCTCTTGTGTCAGTTTGCTGAGAATGATTGTTTCCAGGTTCATCCATGTCCCTACAAAGGACACAAACTTATCGTTTTTGATGGCTGCATAATATTCCATGGTGTATATGTGCCACATTTTCCCTGTCCAGTCTATCATCGATGGGCATTTGGGTTGGTTCCAGGTCTTTGCTATTGTAAACAGTGCTGCAATGAACATTCGTGTGCACGTGTCCTTATAGTAGAACGATTTATAATCCTTTGGATATATACCCAGTAATGGGATTGCTGGGCCAAATGGAATTTCTATTTCTAGGTCCCTGAGGAATCGCCACACTGTCTTCCACAATGGTTGAACTAATTTACATTCCCACCAACAGTGTAAAAGTGTTCCTATTTCTCCACATCCTTTCCAGCATCTGTTGTCTCCAGATTTTTTAATGATGGCCATTCTAATTGGTGTGAGATGGTATCTCAATGTTGTTTTGATTTGCATTTCTCTGATGACCAGTGATGATGAGCATTTTTTCATATGTTTGTTGGCCTCATGTATGTCTTCTTTTGTAATGTATCTGTTCATATCCTTTGCCCACTTTTGAATGGGCTTGTTAGTTTTTTTCTTGTAAATCTGTTTTGGTTCTTTGTAAATTCTGGATATCAGCCCTTTGTCAGACGGGTAAACTGCAAAAATTTTTTCCCATTCTTTGGTTGCCGATTCACCCTAATGACTGTTTCTTTTGCTGTGCAGAAGCTGTGGAGTTTGATTAGGTCCCATTTGTCTATTTTGGCTTTTGTAGTCAATGCTTTTGGTGTTTTGGTCCTGAAGTCCTTGCCTACACCTATGTCCTGAATGGTTTTGCCTAGATTTTCTTCTAGGGTTTTTAGGGTGTTAGGTCTTAAGTTTAAATCTTTAATCCATCTGTAGTTAATTTTAGTGTAAAGTGTCAGAAAGGGGTCCAGTTTCTGCTTTCTGCACATGGCTAGCCAGTTTTCCCAACACCATTTATTAAACAGGGAATCCTCTCCCCCTTGCTTGTTTTTGTCTGGTTTGTCAAAGATCAGATGATTGTAGATATGTTGCGTTGCCTCTGAGACCCCTCTGTTCTGTTCCATTGGTCTATATCTCTGTTTTGGTACCCGTACCATGCTGTTTTGATTACTGTAGTCTTGTAGTATAGTTTGAAGTCCGGTAGTGTGGTGCCTCCCATTTTGTTCTTTTTGCTTAGAATTGACTTGGCTATGTGGGCTCTCATTTTGTTCCATGTGAAGTTTAAGGTGGTTTTTTCCAGTTCTGTGAAGAAGGTCATTGGTAGCTTGATGGGGATAGCGTTGAATCTGTAAATTACTTTGGGCCGTATGGCCATTTTCATGATATTGATTCTTCCTAACCATGAACATGGAATGTTTCTCCATCTGTTTGTGTCCTCTCTTATTTTGTCGAGCAGTGGCTTGTAGTTCTCCTTGAAGAGGCCCTTTACATTCCTTGTTAGTTGTATTCCTAGGTATTTTATTCTCTTTGTGGCAATTGTGAATGGAATTTTGTTCTTGATTTGGCTCTCTTTAAGTCTGTTATTGGTGTATAGGAATGCATGTGATTTTTGCACATTGATTTTGTATCCTGAGACTTTGCTGAACTTGCTTATTAGTCTCAGGAGATTTGGGGCTGAGACGATGGGGTCTTCTAGATATACAATCATGTCGTCTGCAAATAGAGACAATTTGACTTCCTCCTTTCCTATTTGAATGCTCTTAATTTCTTTTTCTTGCCTGATTGCTCTGGCTAGAACTTCCCGTACTATATTGAATAGAAGTGGTGAGAGAGGGCATCCTTGTCTAGTGCCACATTTCAAGGGGAATGCTTCCAGTGTTTGCCCATTCAGTATGATATTGGCTGTTGGTTTGTTGTAAATAGCTTTTATTATTTTGAGATATGTTCTGTCAATACCTAGCTTATCGAGGGTTTTTAGCATAAAGTGTTGTTGAATTTTGTCAAAGGCCTTCTCTGCATCAGTTGAGATAATCATGTAGTTTTTGTCTTTGGTTCTGTTTATGTGGTGAATTACGTTTATAGACTTGCGTATGTTGAACCAGCCTTGCATCCCTGTGATGAAGCCTACTTGATCATGGTGGATAAGCTTTTTGATGTGCTGTTGCAGTCGGCTTGTCAGTATTTTATTGAAGATTTTTGCATCTATGTTCATCATGGATATTGGCCTGAAGTTTTCTTTTCTTGTTGAGTCTCTGCCGGGTTTTGGAATCAGGATGATGTTGGTCTCATAAAATGATTTGGGAAGAGTTCCCTCTTTTTGTATTGTTTGGAATAGTTTCAGAAGGAATGGTACCAGCTCCTCTTTGTATGTCTGGTAGAATTCGGCTGTGAACCCGTCTGGACCCGGGCTTTTTTTGGGTGGTAAGCTCTTAATTGCTGCTTCAACTTCAGACCTTGTTATGGGTCTGTTCAGGGTTTCAGCTTCTTCCTGGTTTAGGCTTGGGACGAGGCAAGTGTCCAGGAATTTATCCATTTCTTCCAGGTTTACTAGTTTATGTGCATAGAGTTGGGTGTGATAATCTCTGATGATGGTTTGAATTTCTGTGGAATCTGTGGTGATATCCCCTTTATCGTTTTTTATTGCATCAATTTGGTTATTCTCTCTTTTCTTTTTTATTAATCTGGCTAGTGGTCTGTCTATTTTGTTGATCGTTTCAAAAAACCAGCTCCTGGATTTATTGATTTTTTGAAGGGTTTTTTGTGTCTCTATCTCCTTCAGTTCTGCTCTGATCTCAGCTATTTCTTGTCTTCTGCTAGGCTTTGAGTTTTTTTTATCTTGCTCCTCTAGCTCTTTCAGTTTTGATGAAAGGGTGTCAATTTTTGATCTCTCCTTGCTTCTCATGTGGGCACTTATTGCTATATATTTTCCTCTAGAGACTGCTTTAAATGTCTCCCAGAGATTCTGGTATGTTGTGTCTTCATTCTCGTTGGTTTCGAAGAACATCTTTATTTCCGTCTTCATTTCATTGTTTATCCAGTCAACATTCAAGAGCAAGTGGTTCAGTTTCCATGAAGCTGTGCGGTTCTGTGTTAGTTTTTGAATTCTGAGTTCTAACTTGATTGCACTGTGGTCTGAGAGACTGTTTGTTATGATTTCCGTTCTTTTACATTTGCTGAGGAGTGATTTACTCCTAATTATGTGTCTGACCTAGTCTTAAGGGATTTTCCCATCTCAGCCCTCTGAGTAGCAGGCACTACAGACATGTCCCATCTTGGTGGCTTCATCTTATGTCTATACATTCATTTCAGTGGATAAGAATAAAAGTAGAGTTAGTGAAATGGCCTAAATGCAGTGGTCAGATAAATGAGTTGATAAACTGTTAAAAGTGATCACATCTTTTTTCTTTTCTCCTTCTATAGATATTTCTTCGGAGTCCAACCCTTCCCACAATCCAGAGATAAGCACAATATTCATGACAAAATCTCAAACGGATGGTGAGACCATTGTCTTTTCCACCAAGAAGAAGAGTGAAAACTCTTCCTGTTTGATCAAATGTATTATAGAAAGTATTTAGAAAAACTCATATTGCTTTAACTTTTTAAGATTTTCACATATTCATTTGTCTATTTTAACATGTGATATACTTTCCTTTAATTGTTATTGTGTTAGTAAAAACATGTAATCTTTTTATTTGTACAGATTACCATCTTTTTATCAAAACAATTTGTCATGTGATGGAGGAGTTGTAGATTTATCTTTGTTTTTAATTCTTTGTTTCTTTTCCCTTGCTCCAGAGAGTACATTTTAAAGTTGAATGATAGAACTTAGGCTTCACCTTGGTTTCCATTTAATCAAATTAAAAAAAAAAATACACAGTTGTTCATCGACAAGGATTGAATCTGTGATTTTGGCTTTCTCTTCCACAGTCCTCTGACCACATGCATTTATCACATCCAAGTTTATGCTAATCAAAACTTTTATTAACCTTTTAATTTGATGTAATGTAAATTTAAACATGCCCTACTCCTGCTTATTTTCCTCAGTGTTATGTTAAATCCTTGTTTGTTTGCTAAAAAGCCAGGTTTTTCTGTTGATTTAAGCAGCAAGAATACAAGTGAGGACCTATAATCATATGTGAAGTGATGCAGCACAGTAAAATGTGGGAGTTTGTAATCTTTGTTTTTGGTAGTTTGAGTAGACTTTGCCTGTCTTGAGTCAGTTATTTCTGGCTCGAATTTGTTTTCATTTATGCATTACTGTACAGAGATACCTAAGGCTGGGTCTTTTATAACAAAAAGAGGTTTAATTGGCTCATAGGTCTTCAGGCTGTACAAGCATGGCTTCAGCATTTGCTTCTGGTGAGGGCCTCCACAAGCTTACAATCATGATGGAAGGCAAAGGGAAAACAGGTGGCTCCACACTGTGAGAGGGTGGGGTGGGGGCAGTGAGAAGGTGCCACACTCTTTTAAACTACCAGAATAAGAATTTGCTTATTACCATGGGGATGGCACCAAGACAAATATCCAAACCATATCAGAATTGTTTTCCCAGTTCCTTCCAGAGCCATGGGCTTCTCACACATAGAGAGCATGGAAGGAGTTAAAAAAAAAAAAGCTATTCTGTGTCCCTCACTCTTTAGTGATAGCAATGTTTGCCTACAAGGCCCTTTCAGCATTAAAAGTGGAGGCAGTGTAAGAAACGAAGAATGGCCTAGGTTGGTCTTGGCGCTTTTGTTATTCTGGCCTTTTTTTAGGAAAAAAAAAAAAAAAAGATTTTTTAGGCTGCAGACATCATGTTCAATGAGGTTTATAGACTCATTTTAAAATTTAAACTGAAGATAGGTTACTTTCCCGTTGTGTAAAGTCTTTTTTTATTTTGTTTTGTTTTTAGTGACATATTAGTAGGTGACCACTAAGTGTGGTTCAAAATGCTTACTGGGATTCCGGTGCATCTAGAGATAGGTGCCTGGCCAGGAAGTAGTTCTTAGAGCTGTTAGCTCTTAAATTCTGATAAAAAAGTAAGCTATGTGTAAATGCAGAATGAGAAAATGCTAATGGATCATGGTTCATATATGCAACAGTTAAACTTTTTTATTAGCTAATTTTTTCAACTGGCCTCATTTTTTTGCCCTTTCCTTTTGTATACAAGATTTGTTTCATTTGTATATAATAGAAACAAAAAGTAAATGAGGTCAAAAAGTAAAACTAAGTTTTTAGATTTTGCTTTATGAGATTTATCATGCCAGATAATTTAAATATAAATGGTTGAAAATAATTTTTTAAAATTGAATTTGTTCTCATTTTACTTAGGAGTAATCAGTAGGACGTTAACAACTACTTTTATTTTATGGTATTTGTATTAGAAATGACCAGTTTGTTCTTTTTCCTTTCTTAGTAGAAGAAATACGAAAAAGCAACTATACAAACCATGTAAGTAAACAGTCAAAAGTTAAAAAATTGACAGTTTTACATAAAAGTATGTCTCTCTTAATTACTTTAAATTATAATGAGGACCCCATGCTGATAGCATGGACTTCTTTTTGTGGATTTTCTAAAGCTGTTACATTTTTCTAAGTATTAAATGTATTCAGAAAAGTCTTCAGCTTAGTGTGTCCACCTTTTAAGAATGTTTGACATTTAAGTTAAATTTCAATAGTCTGATTGTGGTATAAAGATCTGCCTTAAATATTTAGTCATTAATATTTAGCTAAGTTAATTGTCAGCACTGTCTACTGACTTTCTGGTATAGCAGGTGAAAACATAGCTTCCTCACTACACCATGACCTTATGTTTCTCCCTCTGTTTCTTCCAATTGTAGCACACTTTTTTATTAAATCTAATATTTACATGATTATGACAACGCAAATATTATTCACTGCTAAGTCATATGGTGTTTTCATTGTGCCTCTGCATTACATTTTTCTTCATTTTTTCTCTGAAACAGTTCTGAAATCTGAGCACTTCTGCACTTCTTCTGGATCATCTCTTTTTTCCTAGCCTGTGTTACTTTATCCAGCCAAATGCAATAAGTAGCCCCTGGCTGGTCTGTTTGCTTTCATAACTATTCTTTTTTAGCATGAAGCTAATTTTCTGACTATTGGTTTGCCTGTTTTCTAACAGTCGTTTATCCCCCCAAGTGTTGTAGCATCTATCACATGCCTTTCCAAACTATTTTCCATCTGCTAAAACATATTTGTTCCATTTTCTTTGTTGCAGGAGTGGGGTGACAACTTACTCTGGCATTTGCCATCCTAATTCAATATAGAGTGACTTTCCTGAGACATGCTCCATGTTTGCTTTTCTGATTCTTTTTGTGCTATCTCCTTAAAGTATTTTGGGATCTCACATAAGTGCCGTCTTATGTGGGATCACCTGTGTCCTAGATTCTATGTTTCCTTCTGTCCTGTTATCCTGGGCGGAGATGTTTAGAGATCTGCCCAGTCTTAAAATCCCTCCTTTTTGATAGAGAGTAAGCCTCTAGGTTGAATCTAAATTTTATGATTCTGAAGATATTCTACAATTGTGCTCTCTTTACAATGTTGTAGTTAAATCTATTGCCATTGTGTGATACATTATTTGTAACTGGCTTTTATATATCTGTAGAAACTTTTTAGGAGCTTCTGTCTCTCTGAGATTCTTAAATTTCATAGTAACAGCTTGGTGGGACTCTTTACATTTTATTGAGGCTACTAAGTCTGCAGACTATCTGTGCTTGATAATTTGTTTTACTTTCTCTGTTACTTTTTTTTTCTGATAGTCTTGTTATTCATACACTAGGCTGCTTAGACCAGTATACCTGCATTAGTTTTTAATTTTTCTCCTTCTATTTTTCAGTTTACCTTATTATTATAGATAGAGTCTTTTTCATGAATGCCCAAAGTGTTAGAAATATATGTTAATTAAGATTTATTTATTTCTAGTCTGGTCAACATAGCAAGACCTCATCTCTACAAAAAGGTGAAATAACAAATTAGCCAGGCATGGTGGCATGTGCCTTCAGTTTTATCTACTCAGGCTAAGGTAGAGCATTGCTTCAGCCCAGGAGTTTGAGGCTGCAGTTAACTATCATTGCATCACTGCCCTCCAGCCTGGGCAACAAAGTGAGACTCTGACTCAGAAAAAGAAAAAACATTATTCTTTAAAAACATATCTAAAATTTATCCTGTCAAAAAGCAGAGAGAAAAACATAAATTTTAGTTATCATTTTATTTTATGTTTGCTGGCAAAAATGCTGTAGTTGATTTATTTATATATTTTTATTCTATAGGTATTGGGGGAAACAGGTGGTCATATGAATAAATTCTTTAGTGGTGATTTGTGAGATTTTGATGTACCCATCAATTGAGCAGTAGCCACTGAACCCAATTTGTAGTCTTTTATCCCTCATTCCACTGCCATTCTTTCCGCCGTGTCCCCAAATTCCATTGTATCATTCTTATGCCTTTGCGTCTTCATAACTTAGCTCCCAGGTATGAATGAAAACATACAATGTTTAGTTTCCCATTCCTGAGTTGTTTCACTTAGAATAATGCCTCCAATTCCATCCAGGTTCCTGGGAATGCTACTAATTTATTCCTTATTATTGGCTGAGTGGTGTTCTATCATACACACACACACACACACACACACACACACACACACACACACATATACATACACACACATACATATATATATCACAGTTTCTTTATGCACTCATTGATTCATGGGCATTTGGGCTGCTTCCATATTTTTATAATTGCAAATTGTATTGCTGCAAATATACATGTGCAAGTATTGTTTTTGTATAATTCCTTTTTTTCCTCTGGGTAGATATCCAGCAGCAGGATTACAGGATTGCATGGTGGTTCTACTTTGAATTGTTTAAGGAATCTCCACACTGCTTTCCATAGTGGTTGTACTAGTTTCCATGGTTACCAGCAGTGTAGAGAGTGTTTTCTTTTCACTGCATCCACACCAACATCTATTATTTTTATATTTTTTGGTTATGGCCATTCTTGCAGGAGTAAGGTAGTATAGCATTGTGGTTTTGATTTTCATTTTCCTGGTCATTCATGATGTTGAGTATGTTTTCATATATTGGTTGGCCAATGGCATATCTTATTTTGAGAATTGTCTTTTTATGTCCTTCACCTACTTTTTGATGGGATTTTTTTTTTCCTCTTGTCAATTTGTTTGATTTCCTTGTAGATTCTGTGTATTAATTCTTCGTCAGATGTAGAGATTGTGAAGATTTTCTCCCATTCTGTGGTTGTCTGTTTACTCTGCTGATTGTTCCTTTTTCTGTACAGAAGCTTTTTAGTTAAGTCTTACCTGCTTAATATTTGTTTTTGTTGCATTTGCTTTTGGGTTCTTGGTTATGAAGTCTGCCTGAGGCAGTGTCTAGAAGGGTTTATCAAATGTTATCTTCTAGAGTTTTTATGGTTTCTGGTTGTAGATTTATATCCTTGATCCATCTTGAGTTGATCTTTGTATAAGGTGAGAGTTCAGGATCCAGCTTCATTTTCTTGCATTTAGTTTGCCAATTATTCCAGGCATTAAACCATATAGGGTTTAATTTTTTCAAGTTATGTTTTAGTTGGCCTTGTTGAAGATCAGTTCGCTGTAAGTATTTTGGTTTATTTCTGGGTTCTCTATTCTGTTCCTTTGGTGTATTTGCCTATTTTTATATCAGTACCACGCTGCTTTGGTGACTATGGCCTTATAGTATAGTTTGAAGTCAGGTAAATTGATGGCTCTAGATTTGTTGGCTTTGCTTAGTATTGTTTTGTCTAGGTGGGGTCTTGCTTTGTTCCATATGAATTTTAGGATTCTTACTTTTTTAGTCCTGTGAAGAATGATAATGGCATTTTGTTAGGAATTACATTGAATTTGTAGATTGCTTTTGGCAGTATGGTCATTTTTACAATATTTATTTAAGCCATTCATGAGAGTGGGATGTCTTCCTATTTGTTTGTGCTGTCCATGATTTCATTCAGCAATGTTTTATAGCTCTCATTGGCATATCAAAAAGATAATCCGCCATGTTTAAGTAGGTTTCATACCAGGGATACAGGGATGGTTTAAAATATGTAAGTCGATAAATATGATACATCACAGAAACAGAATTGAAAGTAAAAAATCAAATGATCATCTCATTAGATGTAGAAAAAGCATTGGACAAAATTCTTTTATGATTCAAATGTTTAAAAAGCATTTGACAGCATTCTTTATGATTAAAAGTCTCAGCAAAATCGGCATACAAGGGACATACCTCAATGTAATAAAAGTCATTTATGACAAACCCACAGCCAACATAATACTGAATGGTCAATTGTTGAAATCATTACCCCTGAAAACTGGAACAAGACAAGGATGCTCACTTTCACCACTTCTATTCAACATACTACTGGAAAAACTAGCCAGAGCAATCACACAAGAGAAGAAAATAAAGGACATCCAGATCGCTAAATAGAAAGTCAGACTGTCACTGTTTGCTGATAATATGAACGTATACATAGAAAACCCTAAAGACTCCTCCAAAAAGCTCCTAGAACTGATAAATGAATTCAGCAAAGTTTCATGATACAAAATTAATGTACACAAATGAGTAGGTCTGTTACACTCCAATAGCTACCAAGCTGAGAATCAAACTAAGAACCTCAACCCCTTTTACAATAGATGAAAAATAAAGTGAAATACTTAAAATACACCTAACCAAGGAGGTGAAAGATCTCTACAAGGAAAACAACTTTAGTGTTTTTAATGACTTAAAATGAGAGGCAGCAGGTACAATGGAAGAAGTCAGTGGGTGGGCACTGGCATCCAAGGTGTACTGGACCTTTGATGGTCAGGCTTTAGTTTTGACATTAAATTACTAGGTATGATTATTTTCTAGTTTTTGTTATTATACCTTAAAACCACTAAATAACCCCTTCCATTTCTTGTTAAAGATCATAGCAGTTCATACTCTGATTTATGCTGACTGAAGTTAGATGATTTGTTTCTATTTTGTGATTACCTTAAATAATACCTATAAAGAGTGAACTGTTAGAAGTGTTTTGCTTTAATTAAACGTAGTAAAATGTATAATCCAAATGATAACTCAGTTAATTTGTCAAACACTTGTCTAACTTTTTGATTTATTCAAAATTCTATGCTCAGCAGCTGGATGTAGGAACAGTTAGGGCCCGCTGTTGCTTTTATGGAGAGGCATACTTTCTCATGAGGAGAATACTCTGCAAGAATTAGTCTCTTGTAACCAGTGGTGAATCTGACTCATTAGTGGACCAAAAAACAAACAAACAAACAAAAAAACATGTTTTTGTGTGGCTACTGGCAAACAGATCCAAAAGGGTAGGTGGAGTCAAACTTGCTGAAACAAGGAAAGAGAACAGCAGTATTCTAGGCAGAGAGCAGGGGTATAGCAGGAAAATGCCTAGGGTGCAGCTCAAATGATTTATAGAATAAATTGAGTTTTGAAATTAATGGCAAGCATTCTCTGAGAGTCTCATTTGAGTCATGTCATGGCCATCTTATTTAAACATGAAGTGAAAGTTAAATTTTTTAAGTTGTCATCTGTTTTCAGGGTGCGAGAGAATATTAAATTGTTACTCATTTTATCCTCCACATAAGAAAACAGTGCTAAAGAAACCTATGGCTTCCTCACTTGTTGGTGGCCTAGCAACACTGGCACACAGAGTCTCTGAATCTGAAACACTTGTTTTGTCACCTGAAATAATACAATTCGGATTAGTAATTTAGTAAATGTATTAGTCTTGTATTCACTGCAATAAAATGCTCTTCTACTATATTATTTAATACATTACATTTTACTGTAGTAAATAAATAAAAGAAATAGAAATTCTCAGCTGTTTTATGTCACTGTAAAAAAAACAATAAAATCTTATTTTAAACCTTTCTCAGTATTTATAAAAGGAATTCATAAAATACTTGTTAGGTTTGATGGCAGGTACCATATTAAGGGAAGCATTTTATAACCTGTATCTCAAACATCATCTCTGGAAGTTAAGAGCCTCCGATGAGTTCTCTATAGAGTGGACATGATACCACACTCAGGCAATTCATGGAATGTAAAAAATATCCTAGTGCTTTGTCTTTTGACATTTTAACCAATAAAAAAAATACACCTTGATAAGTTTAACTTACACTTCCCTTCCCCTTCAGGAATCTACTCGGCAATATAGTTCCTGTTCAGCCATTTTCCTCGATGACAGCACAGCCAGTCAGCCTCATCTTACAATGATACTAAAGTCGTGAGTACAACCCTAGTGCCAAGGGACAGATTCCTTTATTCTAAAATTATTTCATCCGTTTGGTTGTCCTATTCAGCAGTCATTTTAGGAAATTGAAGTCAACTATATACTGATATACAGATTCTAAATATTAAGTATCAATTTCTCTTTTAAAAAATCTTAGATGTCATAGTAGAAGGGAAAATCAGTTAGCAAATTAGCAATCCCAGGAAAGTATAACTATTTTTTTGGTGCCTTTATGACTTAAGACAATGTTGACTGCAGTGAAAAAAAACCTTTTATTGGATTTTGTGTGTGTGAAAAATTAGTTTTTCAATGCATTGCAGACATAAATCAATGTGTACTGCTTTGGACATTAGTCTTGGAAGATGGAGCAGCTTTTTCTCCTCTGGCACCACAGTGTATCTGCATTTGAATTTCTCCCATTCTGCATGAGCACCTCATGGGCCACAAAGATGCACTTTGAGAGCACCCTAAAAGGAAGTTTATTTTAAAAGGAGCAACAACAAACGCCACCACCAGCTCCATTGGGGCTGTCCAGTGTAAATCATTGTCATTTCCTTGGGTTATATAAGTGCTGATTTTTAGAACACAGCTTGGAAAGTGCTAATTTAGAATATTAATGTTTTTATCTTTAATTTTACTTTTTATTGAATAAACGTAAGTAGCTTATAAACAATTTTATTTCAAATGTACTAGCCTTTTTAGCTAATTCAATTGTCAGTAACTTTTACTTGAATTAAAAATGGTGGCCGACTCCTGACTGGAAGACACCTCCCAGCAGGGGTTGACAGATATTTCATACAGGAGAGCTGACATCTGGTGGATGCTCCTCTGGGATGAAGCTTTAAGAGGAAGGACCAGGCAGCAATCTTTGCTGTTCTACAGCCTCTGCCGGTAATACCTAAGCAAACAGGGTCTGGAGTGGACCTCCAGCAAACTCCAGCAGACCTGCAGAAAAGGCATCTGACTGTTAAAAGGAAAACTAACAAAAAGCAAAACATAAGTGTCAACAAAAAGGACACCCATACAAAAACCCCATCCAAAGGTCATCAGCATCAAAGATTAAAGGTAGATAAATCCATGAAGGTGAGGAAAAAGCCAGTGCAAAAATACCGAAAATTCCAAAATCCAGTATGCCTCTTCTTAAGACTCCAGTGTATGGAGAGAGAATGAATTTGATGAATGATAGAAATCAGAAGGTTGATAATAATTAACTAACTCCTCTGAGCTAAAGGAGCAAGTTTTAACCCAATGCAAGGAAGCTAAGAACCTTGGTAAAAAGTTACAGGAATTGGACCAGAATAAACAATTTAGAAAAGAACATAAATGACCTGATGGAGCAGAAAAACATAGCATGAGAACTTCATGAAGCATCAATAACTGAATCAAGCAGAAGAAATGATATCAGAGATTGAAGACAATCCTAATAAAATAAAGTGTAAAGGCAAGATTAGGGAAAAAAGAATGAAAAGTAACAAACAAAGCTTCCAAGAAATATGGAACTGTGTAAAAAGACCAAACCTATATTTGATTGGTATACCTTAGAATGATGGGGAGAACGGAACCAAGTTGGAAAACACATTTCAGGTTAATATCCAGGAGAACTCCCCCAACCTAGGCAAGATAGGCCAACATTCAAATTCAGAAAATAAAGAGAACACCACTAAGATACTCCTTGAGAAGAGCAACCCCAAGATACATAATCATCAGATTCACCAAGGTTGAAACCAAGGAAAAAATGTTAAGGGCTGCCAAAGACAAAGGTCAGGTTTCCTACAAAGGGTAGTCCATCAGACTAACAGTGGATTTCTCTGCAGAAACTCTACAAGCCAGAAGGGAGTGGGGGTGAATATTCAACATTCTTTTTTTTTTTTTTTTTCTTTTTTACACTGTTGTAAACTATCTTCCAAACACCAACTATGGAGCAAGCTGGGAATAGAACGGGTGTCTCTGTCTCAAAATTCTTAAAGAAAACAGTTTTCAACTCAGAATTTCATCTCCAGCCAAACTTAGCTTCATAAGTGAAGGAGAAATAAAATCCTCTCCAGACGAACAAATGCTGAGGGATTTTGTCATGACTAGGCCTGCCTTACAAGAGTTACTGAAGGAAGCACTAAATATTGAAAGAAAAAATTGGTACCAACCACTGCAAAAACATAGCAAAATACAAAGACAAATGACACTATGAAGAAACTGCATAACTAATTTGCTAAATAACCAGCTAGCATCTTAATGACAGGATTATATTCACACATAACAATATTAACCTTAAACTTAAATGAGCTAAATGCCGCAGTTAAAAGACACAGACTGACAAACTGGATAAAGAGTCAAGACCCATTGGTGTTCTGTATTTAGGAGACCCATGTCATGTGCAAAGACACATATAGGCTCAAAATAAAGGAACGAAGGAATAATTTACCCAGCAAATGGAAAGCAAAAAAAGCAGGGTTTGTAATTCTTACTGATAAAACAGACATTAAACCAACAGAGATCAAAAAAGAAAAGGGCATTACATAATGGCAAGGGGATCAGTGCAACAAGAAGAGCTAACTATCCCAAATATATATGCACCTAATACTGGAGCAACCAGATTCTTAAAGCAAGTTCTCAGAGACCTACAAAGAGACTTAGATTGCCACACAATAATAGTGGGAGGCTTTAACACCCCACTGTCAATATTAGATCAATGAGACAGAAAATTAACAAGGATATTCATGACTTGAACTAGCTCTGGACCAAGCAGACCTAATAGACATCTACAGATCTCTCCACCCCAAGTCAACAGAACATACATTGTTTTCAGCACCACATAATTGGAAGTAAAACATTCCTCAGCAAATGCAAAAGAATGGAAATCGTAACAGTCTCTCAGTCTGTTCTTTTGCATTTGCTGAGGAGTGTTTTACTTCCAATTATGTGGTCCATTTTAGAATAAGTGCTATGTGAAAAAATAGAAGAAGAAAAAAAAAGAAACTCAAAACCATACAACTACACAGAAACTGAATTACCTGGTTCCTGAATGACTGCTTGGTAAATAACAAAATTAAGGCAGAAATAAATAAGTTCTTAGAAACAAATGGAAACCAAGGCACAATGTACCCGAATCTCTGGGACACAGCTAAAGCAGTGTTTAGAGGGAAATTTGTAGCACTAAATGCCCAGATCAGAAAGTGGGAAAGATCTCAAATCAACACCCTAAGATTACCATTAAAACAACTAGAGATGTAAGAGCAAACAAATTCAAAAGCATGCAGAAGGCAAGAAACAACTAAGATCAGAGCAGAACTGAAGGAGATGGAGACATGAAAAACCTTCAAAAAATCAGTGAACCCAGGAACTAGTTTTGGAAAAGATTAACAAAATAGACCACTAGCCAGACTGATAAAGGAGAAAAGAGAGAAGAATCAAATAGACACACTAAAAAATGCTAAAGAGGATATCACCACTGATCCCACAGAAATGCAAACTATGATCAGAGAATGCTATAAACACCTCTATGCAAATAAACTTGAAAATCTAGAAGAAATGGATAAATTTTTAGACATAAAAATTTACCAGGAAAAATTCAAATCCCTGAATAGACCAGTAAAAAGTTCTAAGATTGAGGCAGTAATTAATAGCCACCAACCAAAAAAAGCCCAGGAACAGGTGGATTCACAGCTGAAAAATAGGGATGGCTGTGAGGTCTCTTTATGTGAAGAAAAGCATCCTGGAAGATTCTGATTTTCACCCCAACTCAATTATTCCAAACTTTGTGGCACATTTAAATCACCTGGGAAACTTAACAACAACTTTGATGCCCAAAGTCATCCCCAAAACTGATTTAAATTAAAATGTTTTATGTTGAAAATGAGGCAGTTATTAAAGCCCCTCAGGTGACTTTAATGTGCAGCAAAGTTTGAGAGCCACTGCTTAATTTGAGTTTAGGACAAGAAAGTGCTCCTATTTGGTAGGACCTTGGGCAAGTCAGTTTTAAGGTTTGCTTTCCTGATCTGTAAAATGAGTATTGGATTAAATGTGATATAACGTCATTGGTCCTTTCCAGCATATAACTTCAAATTCTGCGATTTTAAAATTATTTCAGAGATGAAAACTACTTGAAGGACTATAGACATATCCGTCTTGAGTGCTAACGTTACAGGCTTTTTAAAAAGTGCGAATATTGTATAGACTTATTACTAAAATTGAGATTTGCCTTCCCTCAGTTATTTTGAGCCTCATTCTAGATGCGAAGGGTAAATAAAAGCACATAACTTACATAAGAGAACCTCTTGCTTTCAGTAGAACTTCTTGTTTTTTGATACACAGCATCAGTGGGTAATGTAGGAATACAGTTACATATATCTGAAGGGCTGTATCTGTTCATAAATATTTCAGTTAAACTAATTGAAGGTACCTGCCATTCATATTACACTGTGTCATATTACACCGCCTTGTTAGCACTGCTTATTTTAGGATCACTGTTTTAGGATCATTGATTTCCTGTGTGCTTATGTTTACTAATATATCTTTTAATAATTATGCAAAAGTGATTTCAAATAATTTTATTTGTTATAAAGCACTTTCATTATGTATTTTTAGGGAAATAATACAAATTGGGTGGGTAGGAGATAGTAAACTAAACTAAAATGCAGGGCCTAACATCTATTTTTTGAAACAGATTCTCACCCAGGCTGGAGTGCAATGGCATGATCTCAGCTCACTGCAACCTCCACCTCCTGGGTTCAAGCAATTCTCCTGCCTCAGCCTCCTGAGTAGCTGGGATTACAGGCACCCACCACCATACTCGGCTAATTTTTTTGTATTTTTAGTAGAGACAGTTTAACTATGTTGGCCAGGCTGGTCTAGAACTTGTAACCTCATGACCTGCCCACATGGCCTTGTGAAGTGCTAGGATTACAGACATGAGCCACCTCACTCATCCTAGGTCTAACATCTTAAAAAAGAAACCACTACTGTATGGGTTAAATTTAAACATACGAGCATATAGACATAAATTGCATGAGGCTGAATGTGGTGGCTCACGCCTGTAATCCCAGCACTTTGGGAGGCTGAGGCAGGTGGATCACTTGAGGCCAGTAGTTTGAGACCAACTTGACCATCATGGCAAAATCCCATCCCTACTAAAAATTAGCTGGGCGTAGTGGTGCAAACCTATAGTTCCAACTACTTGGGAGGCTGAGGCATGAGAATTGCCTGTACCCAGGAGGCGGAAGTTGTGGTGAGCCAAGATTGAGCCATTGCACTCCAGTCTGGGCAACAGAGAAAGACTCTGGGTCAATAAATAAATAAATACATAAAATAAAGTGCATGGGTCAAAAGGTTTTGTAGGTAGAAGGGCATATAACAGGGAAATATGTTATTATTTATATATTATAATCATCAACAGAAACATATCTTCTAAGAGCATACTGCCTTGCATTTTGCTAAAAGCCAAGAAATGAAAACAAGAAAGTGCCCTTATGGTACTGTTCTGAACTAGAAGATTTTAATTTCAGGGCCACTAGGAGAGTTTCCTTTGCACCCTTTTTAAAAAATGTCTTCAGGCCCAACAAATGATAACATCTATTGTTACGAATTTTTTTCTTCCACAGTGTGTCCTTAGCGATATATTATCATATCAAGCGAAGGTGAGTTTTTAAAATCTTGTCTTGTTATTCTGGCTAATTACTTTGCAAGCTATCTAGCTTAGCGTTAGGTCACAGCTCTAGACATCATAAGCTATATTGTGTCTACTAAAATATTGAAGCAAATTATTTGTGTTTTCTTTGATCCTTAAGCCTCTTTTGATTCTTAAATGACTGAGAATTCTGAGTATGTTTTTATAATGATGATATTGGTATTTAATGTGATAGAAATATAAAATTGAGTTTTTTTTTTCCAAATCTATTTTTAGTTTAGATTTCACGGCTTTACCACTGTTGATATCATGAGCTAGATAATGCTTTGTCCTGAGGACCGTCCTGTGCATTGCAGAAAGTTTAGCAGCATTGATAACCTCTGTCAGTAGTAATCCATGACCCAGGTTGTGACAGCAGAAAATATTCCTGAGAACAATATTGTTAACATAAATTTTTTGATGAAAAAATAACTTTTCTACAACAAAATCTTCAGTAAAAGTGTGTTATGTATTTGTATTATTGAAAATCTCTCATGTTGGGCTTAATAAAAGATAGCTGGATTCTCTAGTTCATTTTTTTGCAAATTGCTTTAAAAAAAGGAATAAGATAACCTAGTCGTATGAAAATATGTAGTTGGTAAAAGGTGTATTTTTAAAGCTTTCAGACAGCTGTGGGTATTCTTGAATACAAAATCAAAACTTCACAAGTGCTAGTTTCTTAAAGTGGCATTTTACATATTAATCTATTCCATCAGCACTCATCGATCTTTCTTAAACAGTAAATGGATCTTTCCACCCATATTTGCATTTATAATATTCTGCATTAGTTATTTGGAAAATATTGGTTTTTGTTTTATTGTATCAAAAATCACTTTTTTAGTTTAACCACCAATCTTATTTTGAAACATTTTAAAATATTGAGAGGGCGTCAATATTTTATATTATAGTTGAAGGAACAAATTTTTCAAAGTCCTCAGGAAAGCTTAAATTTTATCACTGAGGACAAATACTTTCCTTGTGACATGAGTGACAGATTTCCTTGTGAATGAGAGCACCCTCACTTCATTTATTTTTGAGAATGATAGTTGTACTTTTTGAAAGACCTAGTGTCACTCTGTCACTTGGTTGGAATGGATTGGCATAATCTCAGCTCAAGGGGTCCTCTCACCTCAGGCTCCTGAGTAGCTGGAACCACAAGTGTGTGGCACCACACCTGGCTTTTCTTTTTTTGTGACTTTGGTAGAGACAGGGTTTTGCCATGTTGCCGAGGCTGGTCTTGAACTCCTGAAGGAGTTTAGCTGCAGTGCTAAACTCCCAAAGTGCTGGGATTTTACAGGCATGAGCCACTGCACTGGCTCAGTTGTTCTTTTAAATAAAACTGATGTTCCATGAAAAATGTGATTGTTCAGTTCACAATTAAATCATGAATCTTTTTTTTTTTAAACACAACCATACTGCAGTCAACAGAAGTGCTTCTTGTTAACTTTCCACTTACTCAGAATACTAAAGAGAAATGTCAAGATTTAATAGCACCATTTTTACTGCTTCGATTAAGATATTCTTAAGTAATTCATCCTATCTTTTTTAAATGTAAGGAACAGTAAAGAATAGCATGTCTACTGGACTAATTTTGTACCACTTCTTTGATTTATGCTGAGAAACCAGCAGTTTTACCCAATTTTGCTTTTATACAATTATGGCAAGTGTCTATGAAAAAGCAGGCAATACCTTTACAATTTTTAAAAATGTTTTCATTTTTTTTTATCAGCTTTCTTGGGTTGAATTACTATAGTTATCAGAACAGTGTTGACCTCTTAGGCCTTCTGGAAAAGGGTTCTTGGGGATCCCCGGAGGTCCATAGAGCACATTTGGTGAACCACTGGTTTTACACAGGCACAATGTATTAGTTTTACGAAGTTTAAAGTCATCAAAGACTGGCTTCTTTTACAATAAAAAGGCAGATGAGTTTTTAATTTAAACTATTGAAAATAAATAAAAACATCGTGAGAGTATGCTAAAGAGAACTAAAGAGAAAGAAAGCTAGCAATCTGAATCACATTTACATTTATTAAAGTTCTGAGGAGTTTATTGCCACCACCACTGCTTTGTAAAATGTTCTTGTGTTTCAGTGTGTGGTTGGAAGAGTGAAAATACGTTTGGCTTATTGCCATTGCCTGTTAGGGAGGGTCCGTTCTTATAGGCAGTTCTGACTGGTTATCATATAAAAGACTTTCCAGTACAGGACATGATGTGCCGAGTAAGAAGAGGTCAGGAAAACCTCTTCAGGTCAGGGTCCAGGAGAATAATTTGTAAAAACTGTTTGCTTTGGTACAGTAAACACCAAAGCACATAGGAGGCATTATTTTACAAAACAGGTATTATAATAAGATACTAACAATTTTTGAAGTAATGCATATTCTTATTTTATAGAGTTGGAGATAGATCTTTGGGCATATTTGATGAAGAGTTACATCCATTTACAGTAAGTGTCACTTTTTTTTGTTTGTTTTGAGACGGAGATTTGCTCCTGTCTAGGCTGGAGTGCGACAGTGCCATCTTGGCTTACTGCAGCCTCTACCTCCCAGGTTCGAGCAATTCTCCTGCATCAGACTCCCAAGTAGCTGGGATTACAGGTGCCGGCCACCATGCCTGGCTAATTTTGTATTTTGGTAGAAATGGGGTTTCACCATGTTGGAAAGGCTGGTTTCAAATTCCGGACCTCGACCTCCCAAAGTAATAGGATTACAGGCATGAGTCACTGTGCCTGGCCCAGCAAGTGTCACGTTTGTTGAAGTTGTATTTTCATCAGAGACTTTTATCTGTTTCATGCCAAAGTCAGAGGCATCTTTCTTTAAGTCTCGATCCCCATTTCATGTTACATCTAGTCATCTTATTTCAAAAGTGTTATAAAACGAACATGCTGGAATAAGATCTGATCTGCAGTTCTGTTTAATTAGTAAGCTAGTGTGAGTAAATATACTATCCAAGTAACACAAAATCTATCTTTTAAAAAGATAATTGTCAATAGCATCAAGCAATGTAAGAATATGTAAATACTTTTTAACACAGAAGCATTTTTATGAAGAGAGTTAAAAAACTTCAGTTTTAATAAATTTAAATGGTGCGAAAATTTAAAATGCACTTTCTCAGGTACTTAATAGCCACATGTGGCTAGAGATTATTGTATTTAACAGCATAGGCTTAGAGCCTCCTGGTTACAGGAAACTATTTTCTCAAAGTTTATTGCAGAGAAGAATGGAAGATGGTCAGTAACACATTAAAGCCTAAGAGTAGCTTACAATTGGATAGAATTATGTGGAGGAAACAGCAAAAATGAACAAACATTTTCTGAACTTAAGCTCATATTATTTTTAAGTGAATGTTGATGAGTACTAAATCATTATGATATTTTAAGACCCTACTGCTCATATTATAAAAACTAAAAGACATCTCACCAACCGAAATTATTGTAAGTGATACACGGGCACAAATGTGAACACGGCTGTTTTAAGGGCACTTCAGATTTTTTCTTCAATGGATACTTACATTGCGTCCTTTCTTCTTTCAGCAAGAAGAGCTTCTGGAGGAATACTTGCTGTATGATCCTGAACACAAAGTGATTTTCAAATTTGTTAATACTCTGTTTAAAGCTGCAAGGCTAACAGCTGAATTTGCAATCGTGAGTCTGGTAAGATATTTTCTATTTATAAAGCATCGTTAGCAATTGGTCTTGTAAACAGGGTGGTATGGTCATGTTTTTAAATAACAGTAAGTTTCTGAAATCATCTCAGAATGTTAAGAGAAACTTATGAAAGCAAATATACACATTGAGGTGAATCATCATTTTGGCTTAAAATGTCTCAATTGCTTTTCTAATCTCAGAACAATTGCTATTAAAGACAGCAGGAGGGATTTCTCATTTCTCACCACACACTTCAGTGCACACATGCACACACCGTGCACACACATCCAGGGCATGTGGAGGACTTGGAATGGGGAGTAGTAACAAAACCATCCAGTTGATGGGAAGGAATAGATGCCAGTATAGGCCTAAGCTGAGTCCCAGGCTATTTCCCCAGGCAATTCTGATGCATGTTGTGATTGTAAGCTGCCGCCCTAAATTCATTGTTCCTTGGATGATGAGTGTTAATCCACCCCTGCTGATCACCTGTGCCTGCTCATGACGTTGCCCAGGAATGTGGTTCCAGTAGTACTTGGACACAGGCTTTGCTAGTTGGTCTACCAAGTCATAGCTGTGTCACTACATTTACATCATCCCTACAGAATTTTTTTGATGAAACTATTATTTTAAGTAATAAATTCTGTTCAAATTGTTAAAATTAGTCTTATTCCACCCCACAGCAAACCTATAGAGTAACGTCAACTTCATGGCTGGGAAGGAAAAAATACTTAGACCAGTACTTCTTTAGCATCCAGTTAGAGCCTAGGGGAGAAGGCTCCTGCTGTACACTTGAATCAAAGCCCTCAATGGACACTGGACCAAATACAGGCCTTCTAGAGGAGCTGCAAATCATTTGGAACTCTTGGCTTGTGCTGGAGGGAAGCAGGAG